ATCACCTCAATGTTTCTATTCAATTATCAAAGCATAAGAATAGGATAAGAAATGTACACATGGAATTGTGAAAATCAGCACCTAAAACAAAAAAATACAGAAATTCAAATATGTTACGGTGCATTTGGATGAAGAAGTTTGAGAGCACGGTAATTAAGGTGGTGCAGTGGAGGTTGTGGCGGAGTAATGTGGGATATATATACTAATTCGACTAATTTTGCAAGACGTTTAGGATGCGTTGAGAAAACCTCACTTTTTCTCAATTTACTTCAACTTAATTCTATTTATTGATTATTTTAGGCTTTAGAATTATTATTTAGAGTTGAGACTTAACGTTTTCTAGTCTAAAAGAAAAAAAAATAACTTCTTACCTAGAGAATATATATATATATATATATATATTTTATTCCCGTAAGACATTTGGGAGCTCATTGACCTCTAAGTCTTTCTTTTTGTTTTTCCCATAAGTTTGTTCAATTCATCATTCCAGTTCATTTGTTAAATTGAGAGAGACTTCTCACCAAATAATTTGAGTTTGAATTCAGAGCTAAACAATGATTAATATTAAAAGTCAGTGTTTGAACTTGTTAACATAATATCAAAACCACGTTCCATGATAATCTGACAAATCATTGTATAAATTAACAATAATGCTGAATTAATTAATAAATAAAATTGACTGATTAAACGAAACATGGCACACCGCGGCAAGCGGGCAATGGCATCACCAAGTTCCTGAATTATTCAAAGACTCTTCTCTGCAACTGCAATCAATTATTTTTGAAAGACTGTTTTGGCGTAATAGAAGCTACAACTTCATTGAAAAATGTTAAAAAATGACTATATATTTTCCAACCACAGAGTATTGTAATTGAGTGATATTTAACGTTATACAAATCAATTTTAATTAAAGTAAAAACAGCTAAACATGTTTCAGCACACTGCAAATTGGGCAATTTGGTTTCTTTGAACCAAAGCTGCCAAGATTTAAACAAAAAAACCAAGGCTGCCAAGACAGCTAAACATGGAAACCACCATTGTATGGAACAATGCAGCAACAGTTGGTGCTCAGCTATTCGAATCCACACGGACGATGGAGTGGAAAGATATGAAGATACCTGCTGCTCAGCCGCAGATGATTACGAAGGATCACAGCGGAACTGAAAATCCAGCTTCTGATGATCATCAATATTTCTCGATGTTTGTGTTTATGCTCGGTTTGGCATACCAGAGGGAAGGAGCAACCAAGCCCTCAGCATTGATTATTGATTCCATTCTTCACAGCACTCAGTTTCATGTCCTATTTGCTGTATTTCTTCTTTGCCGTTATTTGTTTCAAATATCACTGTATCATGTGCTCTTCCCCGTCATTCTTGTCCCACTAATACTTTCTATCTACTTCTACATCAACTATGAGCCATTTCTCTACTTGGAGGAAGATATCAAGCGGATCAGAAGAGAATCGAGGTTACTGCATGCTATTTCAGAGGATGCAGCAAAAGTAATGGAGTTAACAGAAGAGATAAACACCAGAGCCTGTCAAATCTGGGAATCTGACCACTACTCTGTTGGAGCAACTATAGAAGGGCTGGATAAAACCGAGTTGGCATGGGTTGAGCAAGCCAAATCCATTGTTCGAAGAGCAAAATATTTGGTCGAAACCTTTGAGAAACACAGAAGGGACTCCCACATAATAAGTTTTGCTACAATCAGGAAGAATCTCAGCCAGATGGGAGAGCTTTCCAGTGAAACTAACCGGGTTAAAGAGGAGATAAAAAACATCATTGAGAAGAAGGTGTGTGGGATTAACATATGCGAATCACTAGAGAGATTGAGGTCTGACATTAGAAGCCTTCGGGACAGATCTGTTGAAGAACAAGAGCATAGATGGGTACTAAATTCCAAAGAAGGAGCTGCCTCACCAGCTGATTTGACTTTCTCTACATCACAGAAAATAAAAAGGCTGATAATTCAAGACCCAGTCTTAATGCGTGATACTGGAGAGAAAATAAAGGCAATAAATCTGCAGTTGCTTCTGCTGCACCCTTTTCTGAAGGATATAGAAGGACTTCAGTTTGAGAGCGAAACTGAAAAGGCGTGGGTGGAAGAACTGGAAGAGATCATTAATGAAGCACATCCTGCCATTGAAAACTTCTCACAGAGGCCTCCGTTGTTATCAGTTGCTGGCAGTTGGAAGGCATGGAGGAATCTCAAACAGAACATAAGGTGCATTGAAGTTGGGTTCTCAGACCTTTTAGAAAAAAAAGATAGATATGGCTTCAGATTTATAAGCAGAGATTCATCAAAGTTTGTCTATCAACCCTCCTACCGCACCACTGCTGGCGAATTTGTTTCACCTGTACTAGACAGTTTGCGACAGCACCTGGAGTCATCGGTGTTTGAGGTATATTTTCATGTCAAATGGCTATGCAATAAATTGGAAAAGATGCCTAAACTTCTAGATGATGCTGGAAAAATTAGAAGCAGATATAATTCCAGAAAAGCTGGGTTGGAGCAAATGAAGAAAATTGTTCTAAGGGCAGAAAAATCTGTGAAAAAATTCGTGAAGGATTCAGACACTTCGAAAACAAGAGATGGGATGAAGCTTTTTCATGAAATTGACCAAATCAATCGTACAATTGATATTTTTCTAAGATGCATAAAAGCATACACCATTGAATTGACCGAAGAGTCAAGCTCAGTGGTTGGTTTGGAAGAAGACATGTTGGCAGTGGTGTCACAGCTGACAACCAACAATGAACATCACTCTGTTATTTCAGTTGTGGGGGTTGAGGGAATAGGTAAGACAACACTGGCAAAGAAAATTTATAACCATGGAGTTGTTGTGGACCATTTTCCCTGCCGTGCATGGGTTTCTCTACCTCACGGCGACTCTAATAACAAAGAACAGCTGATTTTGGAAGGTGTAGCAAAGCAGGTCTTGAGGTCTCTTAAACCAGAAGGGCGCCAAGAGATCAATCAGAATGAATCCAGCAGGATCGACGAGGCACATAATATCTTAAAAGCTGAGCGGTGCCTTTTAGTTATTGACAACATATCCACAATGGTAGAGTGGAATACTCTGAAAGCATCATTTCCAGTAACTAAATCAAGTGGGAGCAGAATTCTGCTCACTACACGCAACCACAAGTTGGCTTCACAAGTCGACAGCGACAACCCTCCCCACCAGCTTCGACCACTAACCAGAGAAGAGAGCTGGCAGTTGTTCAACCAGGCGGTGCACTTCCCTCCAAAATGGAAAATGCTAGCAAAAGAAATTTTGAGTAAATATAAGGGTTCACCATTAGCCATCTCAAGAGTTGAAAAGGGTGATCCAATACATCAACCAGAATGATACAGCATCGATTCGTACCTACACCATAGGGTGTGCGGATAAGTTACCTCCTCATCTATCCCATTGTCTTTCTTGCTTCAAAGTCTTCCCAAGGGATTTCAAAATTCCTACGAGGAGATTAATTGCTATGTGGATTGCAGAAGGTTTGGTAGACGTAAGGGATAAGACGACAGAACCTTATGAAGATGTGGCACACGTAAGGGATAAGGCGACAGAATATGAAGATGTGGCAAACACGTATTTATCGGAGTTAATTGATCGGGACATTGTTCAAGTAGTTGAAAGAAAGGTGAATGGGAGAGTCAAGACATGTTGCTTGCACAAAGATTTACAAGAACCGATCAGGTCCAAATCTATGATGTTAGATCAGAGGCGACTTGCTGATCACTTAAACTCTTATGATCCAAGTTTTTGTCTTATTCATAGTGACAGCTCAGATTTTCCAGACTCATACAAAAAACTCATCTCTATTCTCTCCTTTGATTCTAGAGAAGGATATAAGCCTGGAGAAGAAATAGGCAACTTTCTACGAAAGGGCATTGCAGGTGGTTTCTTCCAGCTTCTACAGGTTCTTGATCTTGAACGTGTATTCAGACCTGAATTGCCCAAAACCATTGAGAAATTAAGCAAGTTGAGGTATCTAGGCTTGAGGTGGACTTACCTTGAATCAATCCCTACTTCCATTGGTAATTTGCTGAACCTACAAACCTTGGATGTGAAGCATACATATGTCCGCACTCTCCCCCATTCCATATGGAAACTACAGGAACTTCGACACCTATACTTAAGCCAGAATTACCGAAGTAAACTAATGCGTCAACAAGGACGTCGCAGTTCCTTGAAGAAACTTCAGACACTGTGGGGTGTATTTGTGGATAAGGATAGTCCTTTGAAGGATGGGTTGGACAAGTTTACCAGTCTCAGAAAATTAGGATTGGCATTCCAGTTAGAGAAGGAAGATCAAAAGGCGTTAGCAGACGGGATTCTAAAGCTGAAGCACCTTCAATCTCTAAGATTGAGATCAATTGATGAATTGGGTGAACCTCATGCTCTAGCGTTGGAATCTTTGTCAGCACTTGAGAATCTCTCTAGCCTAAATTTGTTTGGAAAGCTAGTTCCCTCCATCATACCTGAATTACCTAAGAACCTCACTGATCTTACTTTGTCAGCCTCTTGTCTTCAAGAAGATCCAATGCCGAAGTTAGAGAAGCTCCAAAACCTTAAATCACTTTGTTTCCATTCCAAGTCTTATACCGGTAACAAGATGGTTTGCTCCAACTGGGGGTTTGAAAAGCTTTTAGTTTTAAAGTTGTGGATGCTAGAACTAGAAGATTGGGATGTTGAAGGAAAGGCAATGCAAAATCTCAGGGAGTTGGAAATCAGATCTTGCAAAAAATTGAATGCCCCAAGTGGGTTGGGACACTTAAAAACCCTCACTGAATTGAAGCTAACAAATATGCCAGAAGTATTTGTTACAACAATCACAGAAACAATGAGGCAAGTTTGGGTTGGCATTAACCACCCCCCAAAAATCATTCCAATCAATTGGGAGTCAGAGGAATAAATCATAAGCTTCCACTCATGAACTCATGGTATGTCTTTTTTATTATTATTTATATACAAAAAATTATGTTGCTTCTGCATTTCCATGCATAAACAAATCAGGAATATGATTTTAAACTGCCTACTTTATTTTTGTGTATATCCGTTGGAAGCCACGTTTATATGCTGTGTGTTTTATAGCATTGATACATACGCTAGCTGCTTGGTTTCTGAAGCATTTCAATGAAATAACGTCACATGTTTGCCATGTATTAAACTTAAAAAATGGTAGTATAGCTAATATGAGAACTGCATCTAGCAGAAGTTTGATAGGATATGCATGGTTAATATTTGGACACAAGTATCTCTACATGCGATGGTTTTTAACTAAGATCTACACAAGTGAATTTCTGCATCATCTTATGACAAATGAGTTTTGACATTTGTGTGGAGATGTATCAGTGCCTCTGAGAGGGTTTTCCAATGATCATGGGAGGGGTATGGCTCTAACCTTCAGCTATGAGTGTTGTTGATTTTGACAGATAACTTATGACTCCTATAAAATGGGATAGTTAAGTTAAGTCCTGTTGACAGATATCTAGTGGTATCCTAAAAAATGACTCTCTTGCAAATAAGGTTTTAGTTAGGGATGCATGTTTGTATATAAATATTGGGTACAGTACAGTTGGCTTGTTTTCTTACATGAAGCATGTTCTAGTTTACTGACAAAGTAATATTTATTGTCACTACAGGTAGCAACAAAGCATTGGATCAAAATACCACAGATAAATTGGGGTTGTGATGAGATTCTATCTTCAGGAGGTTTTGGGATTTGTTTTTCTACTTGTTTATTGACATGCTGTGTTTTATGATATGAGATCATTGAAAATTATGGATGTAAAATAATGCTAGTGTTCAAGGATTGTTTCATTTCATCTGAAGAATATTATTATATCAGAATTTGAATTCAAATAAAACTCAGTTATGTTCTTGTGAATTTCTAACCTTTCTAGTAGAAGTTACTTGCATTGTTCTCTGTCAGCATCACTCAACATAATTCCCAGAGTTGCTCTATAAACCCCTCTGTGGCTATAATTTGTAGCAACCAAGTTAGCTGTGTGGGAATTTTCTGAACCTGGAACGCATGGGCAACTAGTTAAAAATAAAATTTAAGCATTCAAATCCTGCAAGGGGAAAGTGCGTTTCTTTTTGGGTTTCTCACCTGCCTGCTTCTCTGCTCGGAGTTCTCTCAGAAACGACGGCCTCCCTTGCCCTCCGTTAGTAATTTACTAATTTCTAGCAAAGGTAAAAAAAAACTTGCTCATCTTCTCATCAATGAAAATGTTATCATTTGACTGCTGAATTGAACCCCTCAGTACACCCATTTTTAAGTTCTCAACATAACGTTCCTCCCTCATATATGCAAAATCATTGAATGGCTTGGCCTGATAGACCCGTTAGGTATTGTCGCATGTGAACTGAACAAAGACTTCAAATTTTAAAAGGAAATTACTTGTCTCTAGGACTCCTATTTTCGGATCCAGATCCTCTGCTTTGATTTTCTCTGCCATGATCTGCTTTATTTTTGTTCTCCATATGCCACCTCATTAAAATTTAATCTAACGGATTTAAAAGTTGACACATCATCCTAAAACAAAAACTCAATTTACTCCTAATTAAAAAAGAAAACGGATTAAAAAGTTACCACACCACCCAAAAAAAAAACCTAAATTTCCCCTAAAAAAAAAAAAAAGGTAACCGCCAGCTTTTTTTTTTTTTTTTTTTTCTGTTCTCCTTATTCACGTTCTGTTTTTTTTCATCTCCTTATTCACTTCTGTTCTGTTCTTTTTTTTTTTTTTTTAACTGTCATTTTCTCCTATTTTTCTCTCCTTGCATAAACCATCATGCCACCATCAAGCTAACTGGAGTGCTAAAGAGAAAACAAAAGAATGGATGTAGGAAATAGAATCGAAGAAATATTTATAATCTCCATTAAAAAGACAAAAGGTTTATAATCTTCCCATAAAATAAATGATAAACGTAAATTTACACATCAATAATAAAAGAAAGAACAGTTGTGTATCTTTGGCAAGCATTCCTATTGATATATTGACCTGTATAAAAAAACAAAGAAAAAAACTAGTTAGTATTATACAAATAAAATTTCATAATAAAGGTATTACTGAATGCATAATATACCCATGATTCCAGATGCCATCTCCAGTTTGATCAACATTTGAAGCTGTATGTGGCTTATCGATCATCAAGTTCATAGCCTGTATAAGGTAGTTGTGAAAATTGATTATAATAAATAAAAAAACTTACCATTTATAAAAAGGATATTATAAATCTTAATATACTTGACTCCGCAGAATGTTATTTGAAACTTGCAAGTCTTGAAATTGTAAAGGGAAACTTGCAGGGTTAAGTAATGGTTGGAAACTATTTTGAGGTTCTCGGTAAGGCATCCATGATATTGTATTAGGTGCCCCATGATCTTGTGCCTATGCAGTATTACAGTAACATTTTAAACTAGAAACATGATATGAAAACAAAAATTAAATAAATGATACTTACAAGATGTGTAGCTGAATGACATATGTTATTATCTCTTAAGTGTTGCATTTGGAGATGCATCTGTTCATAATATACAAATTAAAAACTAAATTAATAAAAAATATTATTATATTGGAATTGAACTTTGAATGTAAAATAAGAAAATACCTGTGACGAACGAGAACTAGATGATTTTTTATTCTTAGCTATATTTTTCTCCAAACAACTTTTTATTCTTTTTCTTCCATGGGAGGCTTCCCTCTTCTTTAATCCCTTTGCTTGGATAACTTTTGCACTATCCAAGAAAAAGGACAGAACCTGAAGCAAGAAGGAGAAGAGGACAAAACCTGAAGCAAGAAGGAGAAAAAGAGAGAGGACGACAGAACACGAAGAAGAAGAAGAAAAAAAAAAGAGCTTTGGACGTTAAATATCCCGTTAGTTGGGTGTTAGGGTTTTTGTTTTCTTTTTTAATTAGGAGTAAATTGAGTTTTTGTTTTAGGATGATGTGTCAACTTTTAAATCCGTTAGATTAAATTTTAATGAGGTGGCGTATGGAGAACAAAAGTAAAGCAGATCATGGCAGAAAAAATCAGAGCAGAGGATCCGGATCCCCTATTTTCCTGCTAATCATAGTTTTGATATGTGTGTGAATATTTTTCTTTTTGTGTCTTTGATAAATTATGTTTGCATATATGTAAAATTATGATTTATAGAAAATAGAAATGCATACGAGACTTATTTGCCTCTGTATTTTAAACATTTTGAGCCTTAACAAATAGGAAAGGAAAGTATGCTTTGAGAGCAAGAATTCTATAATGAGGGCCTTATATATGGCCCTTAGGGTCGTAGATGAGATGTCATATCTCTTAATCTTTAGATCAAATTAATTAGTCGTTGGATTAAATTGGTTAGTATAATGATTCAACAATTAAGGTATAAAACCTTACTTAAAGGCCGTATGTAAGGTGCTCACTATAGAATGACTCACTTTGGGAGAGTTTGATTCAAATTTGATAATTTGAGAGAGTGATTCAAATTTAATAATTTGAGATGTCATGGTGGGTCGAGCTGTATTATTGCTTCAAAGTCCTTATTATTCTTTCGAAGCCCAATATGACTAAATGGGCCCTTATTGTTTTGAAGCCCATTACTCTAACATGTCTGCATGCAATGCAATGCAACCTGCGCTTTCGAATTCACAAATTTCTTCATTTATTCTTTTTTTTTTTCCAAGCAAATTTCTTCATTTATTCGCCTGAACTGAGTTTTTTCATACAATAAATTTACAAAGTCATACTCTCTTTTTTATTTTTACTTTTGTCAGAAGATTTTTCTAACAACCAAGGATCCACACACTACTTAATATAAATCAGATATTTGGCAGCCTAAAAAATATATACTAATTACTATGATTAATTGGAACACATGATTCAGAAAGTAAAATATTTTTCTTGTATATAGATCAGAAAATATAATATTTGTGTATGGTAATTAAGTAGGTAAAATCATAAGAGTCGATGGAGCTATTGGGGCAAGTTGTGTGATATTAATTTTATTTTATTTTTGGTCAAAATGTTGCAGCTATTGAATGCATGTGGATGATATTATATGTTACGAAATTAAAGTTTGATCTAGTCACAAAGACCTAGATGTATTAAACAATAAAACTAGATGTGTGAACAATACAACTAAAATAAGAGCTGGCGTAAAATTAAATTTTTTAATTATCAAGTAAACGAGATAAAAAATTTAATTATCAATAATTAAGTGTAAAATTATTGCAGACCTTCTCATCAACACACGTGAACCAAAAAAGAAGAAGCAGAAGTAAGAAAAATACTAATGTTGTTGGTTTTCTTTTTCATTTATCTGCCAGAGATGTATTTTGTTCTCCATTTGGTGAAGTGGCCCTTATTGTTGTTTTCATTTTCTCTGAAATTGTTTTATGAAAATAAATTCAAACTCATGTACAAAAACTGAAAACACCAAATTTTCATTTTCATTTTCTACCCAATGTATTGGTTTGATTGCTTTCCTTTTTTCTTTTTCTTTTTTGGTTGTGAAAAAAAAATCAATATAATTAAATTAATATTAAAGAAATAATAAAACAAAAGGTCAAAAACCTTGCGCAACAAAATATTTCGTCGCACAAACTATTAAATTAATTAAAAAGTTTTAAAACACAAAAAATATTTCGTCACACAAATATTTGCGTGACGTTAGTATTCGTCGTGCAAAACTTAAAAATTTGGGCGGGTACTAAAAATGGGACGAGGGATTTTTTTTTTTTTAATAATTTTTTTTTTAGACTTTGTGCGACCAATATTTTTTGTCACTCAAAATTTTGAGCGACCAATACTTTTCGTTGAGCAAGACTTGCGCGACCAATTAAAAAACTTGGTCGAGCAAAGTCTTTCTTCACGATCTTTGCCTGACGAAGTTTCTGTCGCGCTGAAATTTGTGCGA